TTTAGATTTATCAAAGTAAGACGCTTAAACCATGCCAGAAAAATATTGCTTTATTTATATCAGAATGGCTAATGAGATCCCCAGATTTCATTTCGTAATTTTAAAATGACCAATGAAAATTATATTTTTATTCGATTCTTCCCTGTAAATTTTACAGGCAGTCAAACTGATTTTAGAGGGCCTCAGCCCGAAAAAATAGCATTTTTCGTACAGGTATATCAGTTATTGTCGGTAAATTACACCTATTTCTATCACCTTTGTTTATTCACAAAATGATTTGCAAGAGCCAGATATCGTATTTTGTGAACTGTTTGTCAATTTCTGTTCAACTTACTATTTTTAAATAGGGGACGTGTTACAGTATCGCGTTTTCTGGTTATAGTGTAGAATTTTCAAGATGAAGGATTATTTGTGGGGAATACTACAAGTAATTAAATTTCTAAAAGATGTTTTTATGATGTTTACAGACGCTTCTATGTTCGGCATTTATAAAAAAAAATGTTTCATTATTAACTGGGAGTGAGTATTTGGTCTGTAGAAATTGACATTTTTGTTTAGATAGTTGAAAAGTCTCACTTGAAACTCCGTTTTTTAATCAAACATGAACGTCTCTTTAAAATGAATAAATCATGCCACAATCCAAAAAAAACAACAAAAAACAACAACATGTACTAACGTCTCTGGGTTGGCATTGCAAATTGAACCGTTCCCATCGTTCCTCAAATTAAATTTCTTCAATAACGAGTTGGTTCCTATAATTTGGTGCAAGTTTTTATATTGAAGCCAGCGAAGTTTTGAGTCTTTTATAATTTTAAAAGGCAGGGGATAAGTACCACTCCTGCTAATCTCATTATTAGTGGATTCATTCTGTCATTTTATTTAGTTTAAACATGTTTTATTCATCAATTTTTACAAGCATGTAACATTTTTAGATCACAATATATATGGATTGGAAAACAAGCATAACACTTATATTAATTTTATTTCTGATTTCGTTTGACGGTAATAAGTGACAAAATACATCAGATATTGCGCGACATCCTTTACGGCATTTGATTTATTTCGCAAGATCGCATCTTTTTTGTATTATATTCGATTCGGTCTTTTTTTTTTTATAAAGAAACGTAGTATTGGAAAATATTTGAAATAAGCTCAAATGTACTTCGATATTGAAACCTTAAATATGGCCATTTTTCATCTATGAAATCGTTTAAAAATAACAAAAAACCCTTTTTCTCAAATAATGTTAAAAAACAAAAGATTTTCCTGCAATTCTGAAATTAGGCTTAAAGGCTGTGGTACAAAAGATTAAAAACAACCCTTAAAATTAGAATTTCTTTTTCCAGGCAAGTCATGTAAAAAACCTCAGCGAAGTCCCTTTAAATCATTACGGATGTGGACCACGCTCGAGTTTTTTCTTATTATAACACAACAGGGAAGACATTTCTTGTAAAAATCAAAGTTCATATTAACTTTGACCTTCAATACCATTCAAAGGTCAAGGTCACAGTTGAATAATTCATCATGTTAACTTAATCTAGTCTATTTCATCTGGATGTTTATTTTCAACTGCCTACTAATGTAATGGATGAGACAGATAATAGTTTGAATCCAGTATAAGAAAAATCTTACTCAAATAACAGAAATAATTATTATGATAATTAGAATTATAGTTGTTACTATTATTAAGCATTTTTATTATCACTATTGTAATTAGAAATTTACTATATTTTTATTGCTGTCATTGTTGATGCAGTCGGCATCATCGTCTGTCTGCAGCAAAATCATCATAATCATCATCATCGTCATCATTTACGTCGTCATCATCATCATCTTCATCATCTTCATCATCGCAATTATTATCACCATCATCATCGTCGTCGTCATCATCATCACAATCATCATCTTTATTAATATTGTATCATTGATTATGATTTTTTGTACTGCAATTGTTATCATCATTACAATTTTGTTATAATTATGTTTAAGTATGTGTTGGACGTAAGAAGCATATCATTCCATTGAATACAAAATAGTTCAATGCGATTTTAAGGGGGTGGGGCATGTAGCTTTGAAATGTCTGTCTGTTCCGCTGTCCCTCTGCCACACTGTCACGTTGTCCATCCGTAAACTGACATATTAATGGAATGTTGGGACATCTATGTTTAGTTACATATAATGGAAAAGAGTTCTAAAACAGTATTTCAGACTTATTGTCTTTGAGAAAATCAAATTTCATATGCAAAATGGAAATTGGGTACGATAAACGCACACGTCAACCTTCAACCGACAACACAGACGAAATCGTATGCATTGAAGTCGAGCCTTACTAACTGATTAAACTTTAAAAGTCGATTTAACAATTTGAAAGTAAATGTTCATACACACGGACTTTTAATTTTGCTATAATTAATTAATACTGTTTGGAAGTGAAATAAATATTACACTGACTTTGTCAAATTGTCCCAGCTGGTTAATGTCTTGGTAGGCTCTATTGTCCAGGTGGGCTTCTTGCTATGCTATTTTCTAATTAGGATATTATCCTATTGGGCTAATGTCTTGCTAGGCTATTGTCTAACTGGGCTTTTGTTCAAGTGAGCTAATGACTTGGTACGTTATTGCCTTATTTGGCTATTGTTCAAGTGGACTAATAGCATAGGGAAATAATATCTTGGTAGGCTGTGGTCTGATAGGGTTTTTGTCCAAGTGGATTATTGTCCTAGTATGCTATTTAATGTCTTAGTAGGCTTTTGTCTCATTGGCCTATTGACCTAGTGGACACATGTCTTGGTAGGCTATTGTCTCATTGGGCTTTTGTCCTAGAAGGCTAATATTGTCTCGTTGAATATTGTCCTGGAGGGCTAATGTCTTGGTAGGCTATTGACTTAATGTGATATTGTCCCAGTGGGTACATGTCTTGGTAGGCTATTGTCTCATTGGGAAGATAATGAATTACATGTATGTTATTGTTTTTATACATCTTTTTTTTAAATTAATATCGATAATACTAAACAAATACCTTAGTGACATTGTGCTTCAAATGAAAGAGGGGCCATAACATATTTCTCAGCTTTTTTATGGTAGCCATTGCTCCAACACTATGGAAGCATTTTCTCCTCCTTTTTTATTTACTTTCTTTTCTTTGTAGCAAAAAAGATTTGATTTTTATCAAAATATCATGCTCTGAACACAAAATTTCTTTAATTCTGTCTGTAAAGGGGCAATGGTCTCGTTGCAATAAAGAAATAAGAGCACCGCAAAGACGGGGCAATATATACGCCCGAATGTATGTATATTTGAGTAATCAAAAATAATCTTTCAATTAGGGTACAGTACAGTCTTAATCAGGTAATTGTCTGAAAAAATGTTCTAATTTAATTATCCTTCTGATACTACATTAAACAGGAGGCATTTTTACTGTAATTGCGTGATTCATTAAACTTTAATTGAGGTCAACCAAGCAATGCTATATGTTAAATAAAGAGGCATAGTATTTATCCAATAAAGGGATACTAGTACGAGTTGTTTTCTTAAACATTAGTCTACATAAAGCAAGTGACTCCCAGGGTAGTGCCTATCTAAACGGCGGAAACGAAATTAAAAAAAAACAAAAACAAAAAAACATACCATATAACTGCTAACAGACGGACGGACGACCAGGTGCATCACATAATACGCCGAATTGTTTTAGGGCGTGTAACCATGCATTTATTGTCTTGATTCAGCATAGCTATAAAACCCTATATATACTGTGGATCACTTAGATCTCTTTAACATTATGTGCAGTCGCATATTCTATTTACTTTGATCTCATATATACAATGGACTATGCAGTCGCATATAGACTTCTCTTTGATCTTCAACATGCTTTGCAGCTGAACATACATAGTTCACTTTAACCTATACTTTTTTTAGCCACATACCTAGTCCACTTTGACCTATGATATAATGTGTATAGCTGCATATCTAGATCACTATGTCCTTATAGGCTATAGGCTATAGGCTGTAAATATAAGTTTCACTAACCTATCTCAGCACACTCGTCTTGATGAACACAAAAGGAAATAAATTAAAACAAAACCAGTTTACCAAAACTAGTTTGAGCAAAATAATTACATTTAGATTTGACATATCAGCAAACTTCACAACATCCCCGGTGTACAAGGAAAACCACATAACTATTGTTATCATAGAATAGTGAAAAGAAAATTAATAACATTTATGCTTTTATTTATTTATATGTTATCTTTATTAACTCAACGTTTTTTCTTCCTTACTGGATACACTGCACAAATAATCGAAACTATACTACATTGTGTACATACATTACTAAAGATAAATTTGAAACAGGGATATTAACTAAACACAAGTCTTTAACTGATGAGGTAAATTATATGATTTTAAACAATATAATGAATATGGCTGCAGATCTGAAAATTAATCCTATAGCTTACAACATATTAAACAACAATACAGGCGATGGATGCTCCCCAAAATTGCACTTTCGTTTATATAATATGTACAATGCAAAATATTCTAAGCATTACCGATATTGATCTTGATAGCTCGAATCAAGTAACAGGACCATCCAAGGGTATATCATACCAAATATGAAAGACATTGGTAAATGATTGAGCAAAAGTGTTTAAATCTATTTCTAGTACAGGTGACCTTGACCTAAGTGACCCCAAATTACAACCAAAGTTAGCGGGCCACAAAAGGTATGTACATGTACTTACAAAATATGAAAGAATGACGTATGATCAAAAGTGTAAACATCTATTCTATGACCAATGACCTTGATATCAGTGACCCAGAACTCAAGACAATCCAAACAATCAACTTAGCAACCAAATATGGAAGATATCGGCCAATAAATGAAGATGCTTAGCTAAATAGTGGGAAAGAACAACAGAACTATGGGATGCGGATGGACAACGCGGCGACTATAAGCTCCCCTTTTGTTCGGGAAACATAAAAACTCAAACAAAAACATGTATTTAAACGGCCATCAGGGCTCGAACAGTTCCTTTTATATCGGCCCGACAGACTGCGCATTTAGTGAGTGCTGGTATACACTGGGGACAGCTAACCATGTGGCCACATGGCAATGTTATTATGCAAGCAATAGCGTTAAAACAAATTTTACAAGTAATTGGCTCCTTCAATTGTCTGTTTAGTTCTTCTTCATCTTCTTCATCTGACTCAGACGTATCACCGTCAGTTTCTACATCTTCAGATTTTGCTTGTGAGTTATTTCCTAACTGCTCTTTTTCAACTTCTTCAATAGCAGCTATAAGTTCAACAGAATTGAAGGTTTTTGGACGTTCACCTTTTATCAACGATTTGACCGCTTTATTAATGATATGTTCGTTAGTATAATACTGCTTTGCTGCAGTTACAGCTTCTTCGTTTCTTTTAATAGCTTCTTTTACAGTATCGACAAATCCATTTGAATCGTCCACTTCAACATCCGAATCTTGATCGTTTTCCCCTAGAATTTTTCTGACATAAGCTTTACCTTTGCACTGAGCAACGTGTACACAATCAGGACTTGCTAGTATATGCTGTTCCCAAGGACAAGCGTCTTTCGGCCAGTCTTTTAGACCGATACTACAGTAGTAACACCTCACAGAGTCGGCAACACCTGTATATGCAAGTCCGGCCTCTGCTAGTTCTTTTATCCCCGGTGTTTTATCTTTAATCCAATTTTCATTTTCATATGATTTTATACGTGAGTCTAGAGTACCATATTGTCTGTGTTTAGGTTTGCCTATCAATATACCAAGACTTTCACATTTTGAAGGCTGTCTAGTAGACCTTGGGATTGCGTCGCGTGGTCTTGAAGAATCACTGCTACTATCATGTTGGGTTGAATTACTTTGTCGAGTTCTTCTCCGAAAATAATTCGTGAGATGCTCTATTGTTTGGGTCCCATCTACCTCGAATATACCGGCCATTTAATAATTATGAAACTTGTCCAATGCTCTTTGTTAGCTGAATCGATAAACATCTGTTTGACTTTCTTTAATCTAAAATGTGAAAAACATGGTTTAATAATTTCCTTAAAAACTAGCAAAATCATTAAACGACTGTAGCCTGATTTTTCACCTCATGGCATAAGTTTATACCCCCCCCCCCCACCCGTCAATATAGTAATGGATTTCAGTGTCAAAGTACAAATATCCAGTAGCTTTATCAAGTATTGTCTGGTCTGATTACACAGATGTACCAGTTTGCCTGCTATCTTAACTGTTTTCATACCAACATTGGAATTCAACTCATCATGAAAAACGGGATATACAGACCACCTCTACAGCAATATTGATGCGAAGAACAGTACAGTACACTATATAAAAAATCTGGATAAAAAGTGATCCTTCGGAAATTGAAATATAGTTGCTAAAGATTGGCGAAGTGGATACTCTTTCTACTGATCTCAAACTGTGTTGTTTATCTTCTCTTCATCAATTTTCTTTCATAAAATATCAAGCCAAAAAATAAGATCTACAAATATCAGTACTGTATGCCAAATTTTAAAAGTATATCCCAAACACGGTATTAATACATGTCATAAAATTCACCCACTGAGTAAAGTCCAAAAAAGATATCTTGTTAAAGTTAAAAATAGGCGGTTAAGCGTGAATATATCAGTTTTGATCATTAAGCAAAATCATGCCATCGTGAAAATATAACATAGATGAAAAAATATTTTGGAAAAGAAGTGAAAACTTCTGCAAATGCTTGTAAAATAACTATGTCTCTTACAACCCATCTAGTATAGTGTATACTAATATTTTCCTGTTTTTCTGATGCATGTACATTGTTTAGACAGAAAAAATACAAATATACGTGAAATTGAAATCAAATAACAGCAAATCTGAATGCTATAACGTGAACTTACAAACTCCTCACATAGATATGATTGGCTTTGTGTACCGAAGCATTTAAGGGGCAACTGTGTAGGAGTTTGGTGACCTGAAAGATCAGTTTAAAACACCATGATTGCCAGATATTTAGCTAGTATATGTGACTATTAGAATAATAGAAATTTCACTCCCACACACCCGGTCACACATTCGATCGTGTACTTGCTCCTATACTCTTCTTTAAAATTGAATAGACAAAATGTCCATAGGGTATTCGTCAAGAACGCTGGAAAGCTCGTGCCTACGCATACGCACGTACATGCTAGTGACGGGATAAAAACGCTCTAAATGTAAAATTACCTTTACTGATCAGACGTAACTCGAAAACGAGAACGATGACCCCATTTTTCCGCTTAAAATGTTTCTGTTATCATATTCTAACAGCATGCCAAATTTAAAGAAATTCTATTAAAAAGGTTTCATTTGCCTAATCGTCGAATATACACACGTTTTTCCATTTATATAGCTCTACTGTAAAATCTAAACATAGACACACGATATTTTGTATCACTACAACGGAAATATTAATTCGAGTTTCCATTCAGGAAGGAAAAGAATTTTTTTTTTGTTAAAAAATGGGAATAAACTCCTTTTGCCATTTAGCTCTAGATCTACTGTACTGTACATGATATCCAAATGAGCTTATCTGCACTAACGATAGATCTATAAATAGACAGAAGACATGTTTTATGCCCACGGCCACAGACTATATTTACTCGAGTTAATAAATATTCAGGAAGGGAAAAAATCAATTGTTCATTTCCTACATCGATCCACTTTAACATTAATAAACACTGACCGTTCAGTGTATTTTCAGTGAGAGGTTAAATTGTATATACACTGTATTAGCTCTTTCTATATTTATCCCAACCTGTTTTCACAAGTATTTATGTAGGCAGTTATATAAGTAATAAGGTGTGATACGCAATACTATCTAAAAGCCGAGTTACGTATTACAAATATCTGCCCAAAATCGATATTTTACAAATCAAAAGTTGAAGTATCTGTAGGCTATTTCAATCACAACTTGAAAACCTAATTAACGTGTGTTACATCAGTCATATAAACTTCTTTTATGTAGAACATTCGCTCTGTTCGTGAACATCGTCAAATTCATAAACTACTGACCTATATTTCATTCAAATATATATTTATTTCACCATGCTAAACTCACTAACGAAATCTGAAACATGAAATTTAAATTATTTACTAACCTAATTCACCGTAAGTGCCTAGCGTGGGAGTAAATAACGAAAAGAAACATATCTAACCTTTGTCCATCCATATTCAAAAACAGGAATCCCTAAAATGAAAATTACGTGACTTTGGTTTCCCAACATTTCTATTTATATACATCCGCTACGTCATCATTTGATAATTTGAAGCTATTTTTAGATAAAACCACTGAAGCATATCTGCTACGGAGTCAACGGAAATCCGCGATGCGTACCGATCGATCTAAGGTATAACCACAGGGATCGGACACTCCAAGTTAACCCTTTATAAATGCTTAAAAATATCTTGTCGTGCGCCCGATAAAGGTACATCGATGCCCGTTCGCAACGGATACCTACTTTACAAAATACTATACAGCTTTTCCATTTATTATCCGATTTTGGAAATTTAAAGTTTATTTTGAAGAAAAATACTTGTTTAATTCAAATATCTAATTTTTTTTAAAGGTACAGTTTATCTGTCCGCAACGACGATTAAAAAATTAACTTGTCGAAATCCGGGGTAAATTTACATTTTTTATATAAAAAGCAGGTATTTGAAATTTATTATTACGGTACCATAATAATTTCAGTTTCAAAATAAAAAAGAAGCCGATGTAAGTTATTCACAGATGATCAAAGATGCAATATTTAATATTTATTGGGTTATGTAGTCAAATTTATTAACGCACAATTGTTTTACGGGTAATGTATTGCGGCCTTTACAATTCGCTCAACACGTGAAGAAATTTTATTCACTTTTTAGTACAAAATATTGCCGAGATTGTCAATATTGCCATATTCATAGAATATTTAAATTTCATTCATCATTTATATCATTATTATTTTTTGTAAATCTGTTTTCAAATGTCGGTGCAGTGAAGTAGACAATCATCGTAAGAGTGGCGGTGTGGCCGAGTGGTTAACGCGTCGGACTAGTAATCTAAGAATTGCTTACCGCGTTGGTTCAAACCCTGTCAGGGGCAAGCCGTTGTTTCCTTGAGCAAGAAACTTTACATTCTTTGCTTAGTACTGGTTGGTTCCAGGCACGGATTCGAGAGTGTTTCAATAAGCTTATAGCTTCCAACACATTCGAACTAAAATAAATTTGTATAAACTTTAATTTAGTTTAATGATTTATTTCATGTAATGTTTGTTGTGACACTTCTTCATAGACTATATTATTTTAATCTTGGTAGCTACAGATCATGTAATTCATACAGTCATTTTAACAGATATGAAGTTAAGTTAGTGCACAAACCTCAATTAATATTTGCATTATTCTACGTTTCTACGAATACGTTGACAATTGTGATAATGACCTTCTCCTGTAAAGTCATAATTATATTGTTCATGTCTTGTATGTTAACATAAAATTATGCACTGTTCGTTATCTTGTAGATATGATGTATTATGTCATTATGGGCTTATAAGCCTTATTTGATCGAAATAAATTGTCTGTCTGTCTGTTACTATATCTGTCTGTCTGTATGTATGTTTATTATCACCGAGTGTGAAATAATTTATTATAAAATAAAGCAAAATATAAACGATGTAGTATTTTGACTCTCACATAAAATGTTAAATCACTGAATTATAGTGTAGTCAACGTAAGCAAAAAAATGAAAACTGGTCAGTTAGTAAACAATTTTGAAATTATTACAGGACAACAAAAATTAAAAGTTTTTTTGTATTGGACATAATGGATTTTTTTACCTACACTATATGTAGGATATTTCAATTGCAACTATGACTAGCAAAGATGTTTGCATTTTGAAAAATAATGTGGATGTCATAGCTCTATTCAGGCGTTAGGAAACAGAACAAAACTAATTCAGAAACATCTGTGACTACTCTGATTAATGAGATAATCAAAATTCCATGTTACAGTTCCGTCGTACATGTGTTGGTATGTCTACGAGCTGTCGGAATGACCTTTTGAACCGTAATTTACGGTGTTCCGTTTGAACAGTCGTGATTTTTTTTATTTAGTCTGTACCCGCGATGCACAATGGTACGATGGTGAAAACACGATGGTACGATGGTGAAAACGCGATGTAACGATAGTGAAGACGCGATGGTACGATGGTGAAAACACGATGGCGCGATGGTACGATGGTGAAAACGCGATGGTACGATGGTGAAAACGCGAAATAACCTCACGACATCGCGTTTTCACCACGTACCATCACGACATCGCGTTTTCACCACGTACCATCATGACATCGCGTTTTCACCACGTACCATCACGACATCGCGTTTTCACCACGTACCATCATGACATCGCGTTTTCACAACGTACCATCATGACATCGCGATTTCACCACGTACCATCATGACATCGCGATTTCACTATCGTACCATCATGACATCGCGATTTCACCACGTACCATCACGACATCGCGTTTTCACCACGTACCATCACGACATCGCGTTTTCACCACGTACCATCACGACATCGCGATTTCACCACGTACCATCACGACATCGCGTTTTCACCACGTACCATCACGACATCGCGTTTTCGCCACGTACCATCACGACATCGCGATTTCACCATCGTACCATCATAACATCGCGATTTCACCATCGTACCATCGTGTTTTCATCAACGTGTCATCGTACTATCGCGTTTTCACCATCGTACCATCGTGCATCGCGGGTAGGGACGAAATACAAATCACGATTGTCCAAACGGAACACCGTAGTAATTCATCAGTATCGCCGCAAGGCTCAAACCAAATACCTGTAACACATGGTCCTATAAATATTTGTACTCGACCGCACTGATAGCTCATATATTTAAGTTCCTGAGAAGACACCATGTCTAAGTTAGCGCTTGTTTTTCTTGTGATATGTTTCATGGTAGTCGTTGCGGAGGCGAATCATCGTCTGCCCGACACTGAGGATGAAATTGCTCGATGGGCCCTGGACGAGATAGGCTCCGGTTATGTACTGATCAATGTTAGGAGGATTAGGCAAAAGGTTTGATGTATGTTATACATGTAACTTTTTAACTTGTTTCTTCTGGAAACAGTTTTTTTATTATTTTTAATTTATTAATGGTACAAGGAGTCTAACTGTTTCTATGGTATCAGCGTCTTAATAGATAAAATTTGTAAGTTATATATTTACGAAATCTTAAATGCCAGGCCTGTTTTGATCTCTGTTATCTGCAAGTATGAAATGAGCCGCGTCATGACAAAACCAACATAATGGGTTTGCGACCAGCATGGTTCCAGGCCAGCCTGCGCATTCGCGCAGACTGATCAGGATCCATGCTGTTCGCTTGCAGACCCTATAACAAGTAGAGAAACTGATAGCGAACAGCATGGATCCTGATCAGACTGTGCGGATACCCATTATTTTGGTTTTTTCGTGACACGGCTAAAATATATAATCAGATTTGCAAATTATTCATCCTATAAATGCGTCTTATTTTTTTTTTATTTTATTTTTTTTTAATTGTACAAAGACTTTATATTTTAATTCAAGCCAGAATTGATTGCATGAACTCTACCAAGCAAGAGGAGTGAGTATTTGAAGAAAAAAACAAAACAACAACAACAATTACAACAAAAAACAAGATGAAGTGTGCAATTAATTAAAATATAGACCTTTTAGAAATTTTTAGACATTTTAAAAATATCCTCATTTTTTTATTGGGATTCACTTATTCACTAAAACATGCATACAGTTGATAAAACTTTTTTTTTCACCTAGCACGTAGACGGTACACTCTATAATATGAGGTTGAAGGTCCGAGAATACAGACCCGGCGGAAGGGTGAGTGCTTTTAAAGCGTCTTTATTGTTTCCTTATATTAGTTATAAAAATATAATGTTTTGATGGTTTGATAAGAACTAGGGGGGAAAACAACACCCTTGATTATACTGTAGGAATGAATTTAAACACATAATTAATACTTTTCACTTAAGTGCAATCATACAATTTAACTGTTTCATAAACACGACAATATTGTTTTTCAAATTAAATCACCGAACTTATGTTCTTAACAATTTGATCTATTTTTAGCGCACCAAAATTTTGACCTGTAGGGTGAAGGTCGTGGTCTTCAACAATCGTAGAACTCTCCTGTCTCACAGATGTTTCTCCTCCGGCTCTGGTAACAGTTAGAATATTTACCAAGTATTTTTTCACTTCACCAAAGTTCGATTCATTTATCTTTTTTTCAAGGCTCATGTCTTCTTTTTCTGGTTTTCTGGACAAATTTAGCATTGCACATAATTTCTTTTTCGTTGGCAAAAGCTGTTTCTATTAAATATTCTCAATTTCATCCGATGATTTCGTTTTTTCTTATCATTTTATAGGTCGAGGTCCATTTGATTCTTCTGAAGGTCCATTTGATTCTTTGGGTTCAGCTGGTCCACACTAAGCAGCGTCTCAGTACTGATAGTTCTTCCGACATTCATTATTTTATGTTTATGATCGGGTCTTCAAATAAACGAATGTAAAATTCCCAAAATCTCGGTGTTTTATCTTATTTTCGGGGAGTGCTGGCACTGGAAAGTCTGGTCCTTAGATGCAATTAATATTGCATTTAATCAAACGGCATATATCTGTTGGTGTTACTAGGCAAATTATGCTTCAGAAACGATTCAATTTTTACTTTTTGAGAAGGGGCAAACATGAATAAAAATATATAATATTGAAATCGAGGTTTAAGAGCATGTTAGGTGCTTGATACCTGAAGAAAATGGATGTTTAGTGTAAATCATCGTCAGAGCCCACGGTATACATTACTTCTATTATTATATTATTTGCCATTTAAGTAGCTTATCGCATGGTGCGGTGATGTTTCACTGTTATACGCCAGAGACATGCTCTATTTACAATAACGTACAGTACGATATCTCAGATAACGCACACTTCTTTAGAAAAAGTGTGCTTTATTTCAAATAAAGCACAGTCATGTGAGTACACTTGGTTCACGAATAACCTTGACTGTAGACAAAAACACGAGAGGCCCGAACACGAGGAAAATTAAAAATTTTGTCTTTTAATAAATTTCATAATTATTACATCTCTATATTTTAGATTCGATATAATATACCGATAGATCTAATGAAAATATTAATCATTTCATATTTCATAGTGAATGGCTCGCATATAGTTATCATATTTTTTCTGCTTCAGCAGTCAATTTTAGGATAAATCATTTAGATTTTCAATCAGGATTTGAATCCGTTTTAAAACTGCAGTAACTGGACATGAATTTGTATCAGATGGCTCTTCTTGTTAATTTGATTTTATTTGGACACATGCTTTCCTTTCTAGAGTGTAAACTGCGCGCTGGTTATATAGATTTTACTCATGGTAAATATGCAAAACAAAAATCATTCAAAAGTAAAACTTTATTTTGAATAAAACAACATACATAAAACCATCACTTAACAATAAATAGAACAAACGGATATGTTTAAAAAAACAGTTACATAAGCTAATTTCTACCAGATAAAATTAGAAACATTCTACCAGATTTAAAACAACAATAACGAACCTCGATATAAGGTTCTCTATTCTATATTTATTCTGGCAGTCAAAGTGCTGGTTTAAATTGCATTTTATGCAGTAAGACCTATAAATGCATTAGTCATTTGTTACCTCGACCCCATTGATAACTTTCCGCAGTCCGCACTTTCCCCGCAATATATTTGTTATATATTTTTGGCCGTCTCCCTCCCAGGAAAAAAGTGGCGAGGAAAAGGCGGACATTTTACTGTCTGATTAATCTCAGATGGCATTCTTAACATTATAATATAAGTCTTCTTGGGGTTGGCAGTCCTACAAATGACAGGTGCACTGTTCATTATGAATCAAATTTTTTTTTAACTATTTTCTTTTCATGATCACTTCTGAATATGAATTGTCATGTGGAACTTCAATTCAAAAGGTTGAGAGAAGGATTTTCCGCAGACTGAGCATGCGCAAAGCCTTTCACGCGCATGCGTTCTTCTCACGTGACTATCGTGCGCAGCGTGGGATGCAAATGCTTTTCCACAGTGCTTGCACTGAAAAATACAAGTTAACTCTTCAAACACTTAAAATTCTCTAAACATAAAGGCTTAACTAAGAATATAGCAAATCAAAAATAATGAATATATTTTGCCAAATATGTTAAAATAAAGGGAAATAAATCTTAGTGTAAAATTTCTAAAAATTATGAAATTTGAATTATGTCCCTTTTTTAACATTCATGAACGCTTATTTTAAATTCGTTTTTATCTATTGCTGCGTTAGAAGCTTAAAAGAAAAACATTTTTCATTTAATGAGATATTCATAGTCCTGTAAGGCTGATCTCAAAGTTTCACACTTACATTTAAAAGGGAGGATAAACACATCGATGCTTACGCATAATGCAGTCGTCAGTTAATATGGTAAAATCATACTGAATCTATTGACTATTACTATATTATCAAGTTATACCTTAAAGGGTTTTTCTCCAGAATGTTGCCTTATATGGGTCCGTAGAATACTTGAGGCAGTGAATGCTTTATTGCAGTAAACACATTTGTACGGTCGCTCTCCACTATGTACCTGAAACAAATTCAAACATACATGCTGATTATGCTTTCTGCGATATACCATTCGGCATTGTACCAAAACAATTATTGAACTTTATATTTATTTGCATGCGGAAAAATCAATCGGAACACCTCGACGATTTTCATAACCCTCACCCGGAGTTTGGCGGAAAGGACCGAAATGTTGCGACTGCGGAAAAGTTTTACATTCAAATTTTCTTGAACCTTTTATGGTATGCTTTGTTATATTAGCATGATAAATGCAAAACTGGCGGAAATTGCCGAGTCCTAGTACACTTGTATATTCCATTTACATAATTAATAATTATTTACTTTTATTTTTATTCATCCTTCGTATATGTCATTGAATCTTCTTTAATATTTTTAGCATAACTGTTGT